TTCCTAGGCTGTCATCTTTATGGGAGCAGATCGCCAGGTCTTTTCTCCCACAGAGCTGCTGGTGGGTTCCAACGACCGGCCTTTCAGGTAACAGCCCAGCGCTTAACCACGGTGCCATCAGGGACTCCTTTGCCCAGCATATAGTAGGTGTTTAATAAGTGTTTTGCCTGAGATGGCATAGCAGACAGGGAATTGGAATGGGTAACCACAAGGCAAAAGTGGCTGGTAGGACATTTTCCAAATCCCTTTGTTGGGTCACAGACACTACTGACTTTTGCTTTTGAAATTGTCTCATATGTCTTCATTCTCCTCTCATCAGGCATTCTTATCTCCTCCCCCAGAGCCCACCTGGTAAAATGCTTCCTCTCAGGACCCTCTTCCAGATCAGCTGGGCCCAAGCTCCAAAATGACTTTGTGCCTTGGATCCATATGCTCAGCTACAACTCTGAGAAGATTACCTGATTGGGATGATTCACTGGGAGTGACAGTGTTTGGTTTAAGGGTTAGAGTAGTCCTGTTTGTATTTCTAAAAAGAGCATATTCCCCAATGAATATACAGTTTTGGTATGCGCAGGGGTGAGGTCTTCAGGAGAAAAATTAGAGATAGTCCCAGGAACACCAGGTCCTGCACTCAGTGGCTGACTGGCCCACCCATCTGCACCCATGGCTGAAGGAAGGAGCTGGACTCACACCTGGCTGGATCCACCCTTCAGGTGTGTTCCACTGGACGTGGACATCATCAGGTGTGAAGGTTTCTGGGGTCTGACCCTGGCATTGCCTTTCCCACTGTTGTGGAGCCTCAACATTGTGGCTCATGCCCAGGTGGGCTTCACAGGCTCAGTGTCCTTTAAGTGACAAGGCCAATATTTCCGGTGAACCAGGGCAAGCATGTAGATTCTCAGGGACTCAATTCATAAGCTGTGTAAAGGAAAGATTCTATTCCCTTCTCTCAGGTGTGGTGATTATATATACATATATATATGGAGCCCTGGTGGAGTAGTAGTTAAGAGCTTGGCTGCTAAGCAGGAGAAAGGTGGGATGCAGAACTCAAATTCTAGTAAAAAGACGAGACTTAATGGTCTGACTGAGACCAGAGGAACCCCAGAAAGCAGGGTCCTGGACTCTCTGTCAACCCAGAACTAAAACAATTCCCGAGGCCAACTCTTCAGATAACGATTGGACTGGACTGTGGGACGTAAAATGTTACTCGTGAAGAGTGTGCTTCTTAGCTCAAGAAGATACATGAGACTAAATGGGCAGCTTCTGTCCAGAGGTGAGATGAGAAGGCAGAGAGGGTTACGAGCTGGGTGAATGGACACGGGAAATCAGGGGTGGAAAGGAGGAGTGTGCTGTCACAGTATAGG